ATTATCGCCTTTATTACTCTAACCGAATAGCTATTGCATGTCTACTTATAAAGTAGAAGATATTGCACTAAGTTTTATCTCCCTCTCTCTAAATCTTCCTCAGTAAATTTTGTGCTGCCAACGCCTTTCACAAATGAAACATCCAGCCTCAGAAGGTAGAGGTAGCAGCTAAGCTTTTGATTTTCCAAAATCCGATCTGCAGTTTGATTTTGATTCTGATTTGTGTAACATGCTCTGTATGGTTTCATATTGACAGAACATGTACACCTTAGAAAAATTTTCTTAATGCTTTGATGGGGCGGTGAGGAGGCAGGGAGTTTTGTGTTTGTTACTGAAGAGTGGGTGGAGAGATGAAAAGTACTATGTGCTTGACTAGACCTGCCCCAGTGTGGTCTAGGGAAGGTGTTCTTACCCCCATCTCTTACTACATGAGTTGTCCTGACTAGGTGTCCTCAGTCTTGACAAACTCATCTGTCACTGGTACTCATAGATTCAGAAGTCCAATTGTAAGTCAATCAGATCATGACAATTTATAGTGATAGGTACTGGCTCAAGAGGGAAAGCCTGTCCTAAGCTCATTTACTTAGATAAGTAGATAGAGCAGTATAGACCACATTCGGAAGTGTGGCCAGTTTCTCCTTGTATATGTATGCAACAAAGGATTTAGTCTCTGTCATTCCTGGAAGTCAATTCATGTCCTTAGGAATGAGCTTCGCAGGAAGGCTAACAAAGTAGAGAAGTGAAAACAATTAGGGTCCTTGCAGGAAAAGTTGAGACTCTAAATATGACAATTAAAAACTTGTTTTAACCTCCTGCCCTAGAGCAGATAGATTTCATACCTTTTAAGCCAACAATTGGAATTAGGTTTAGTATTGCTTGCTACAGAGTATCCTTCATATGCAGGATAGCTGAGAATGCTCCTTGTTTATAAAAGATAAAAGCTAGAATCGTTCCCCATCTTTGAGAAGACTGGTTATACTAACATAAATAACCCGAAAAGGGAATCACCAAAAATATCTAATTACTGCAAATAAACATTTTGGAATTGAAAAATGACAAACCAGTTGGGAAAACTGACAGAACAGCTGGCCAACTAGAAGTAAACAACCATTTAGATGAATGCAAAATGCAATGAAGTCATTAAAATGGTTTAAAAATATATCACTTTTGGATAGAGACTTCAGACTCTCTACATAGATAATGTTTATAATCAATGTAGGTTTATGGCCACAAATTTCAACAAACTATAGAAAATGTATTTTTTACACCAAAGATAAAAGAAAAGTATGTCACAAATACTTAACTCAATACTGTGCTTCTTGTTGTTGCACTCATTGAAAAACTGACCCTGAAAAATATTAAGAAAATACTATATAAAAAAATAAAATGCCACCCCTGATACTTTTGAAAGGAGAAGGCTTAGTAGACATCTTAGCATGAGGTTCTTGAGTATGACCTGTCTTTTTCCAGCAATAGACCTCAAATAAACTTGGCATCAATGAGTAAACAAAGGAACATGGATTCTGTAAAGAGGTAAAAAGGAAGATTGACTTGAAGGACGTTACTGCCGGGACAACACGTTTGTACTTAATGACTCTGGAAATGGAGAAATAGTAAGGGTCCCTGGACTGGAGCTGACTGGACACGGTAGAACTTACTAGGAGAATTAAGAGCCAGAAGGGTCCATTCTAAAATTTCATAATTGGAGACTCTGGGAGAACAACTGTAGAACCAGAAAGCAATTTAAGAGGGGATTTTAGAAAGGCTTTATTTTTCTTTCCACTTTATACAGTTTTAACTGAAATCCTAATTCATTGTTGATTCGGAAGTGGAAGCAGGGTAAGATGGAAGACTAGAGTCACGAGAGTCTTGAGAAGCTTGAGGAGAGGCATTGTGAAGACTGACCAGGGATCAATCTGGGTTAGTTACAATGTTGAGCATCATTGAGAGCCAGTCAAAGTGAAAAAGCAAATGATGTTTTAGGGACTCCCACCAGTGCATGTGGTTCTTTCTCACTAATGCTTACTTGTGGCGAGAAACAGATATGGTGGGGTTTAGCAGTTGACATAAATAGGCCAAATAAGTCAGGGTTTTCATGTAGGAATTAATTTTGGCATAGTGGGTACCTATTAACTCAATCAACGTGGGGAGACACCCAATTCAGTACATTAAATTGTCTGAGGTATGGTGTCTCTGTTAGGAGGTTAGTACCTGGCACTTTGGAGCCAGCATAGAATCCTTGGAACTGAAGTGAGGGCAGGATAATGGGCTGCTGTATCCTCGCTATCTGTGGTATCAACAGCTAGGTCAGAAATTCCTCACTTGGACAGAAAAATCTCAGAGCACATGTAGCCTTTTGTTTTGCTTTGTTAAATTTCTTTCCCACATAATCTTTGTAGTCAGCCTAGAGACCATTCGTTGCTATTTTTATTTGGTTTTAAATACTGCATTGATATTTCTTGAGAGAATTTGCCATAAAGTTTGGGGAATAAGGAGGGAGCAAATAAAATATTCCAAGAGCTTCACAGAGATGGGAGTACCAGGCTGCAAAAGGAATTGGTGAAGGCTTTTTGCCGTCATTTCTGAGTTTTATCTTTTTCTGTTGCTGCTTTAGCGACAGGTTCTAGGACATAGTGACCATTATTAAAAGCCTGTAGTAATTACATGCTCATTTCCTGTCATAGTCTATGCATTCTTATTTGTCTGGACCCTACATTTTTTTTTCCTCTAGGGAAGAGAACTTCATTGCTCATTTCTTTAGACATTGAGTAATTGGTCAGCAATTTGAAGATGTTCCCTGTGTTCTCGACTCTGGGAATAAGATAATAGAATAAAATGGTTTCTGTCATTTCCCACATTACTTTCTGGATAAGAAAAGAAAAACAAGAACTGAATGAGTGAAACAGATTCAGATAGCAATAAACGCAATGAGAAAAGTACAATCATATGACAATTATGTGCAGAAGGAACATCTAGTTCGGAAACGTAACAACAAATGATAAGTCAGGCAGCTATGTCAATTCTGTGAGCAAGCGTGTTTTGGTTGATAACCACCTGAGGGTGGATTTTTGAAGCATATTGGAGAAGGAGAAGGATCCTGTAGTTGGGTGGGGAGGAAAGGTGATAACACTGGAAAGGCCATCTGGTGAGAAAGCAGAGGGATTTGAAGACATGAGAAGGATTTAATACCTTCCGAGTGCGGCTTGGAAGGTGCTGGATCACATAGCAGGAAAGTCAAAGGAAAGAAGCTGAAATCTTAGGGCCAACACTTTGAAGGAAGGTCTCTGAGGCTACAGAAAACTATTTTGGGGTGAGGATTTGTATATTTCACTAAAACACATGGATTGCTTTGCAATTGACTTTGGTAACACATATTAATTTTGGTAATTAACAGATTGTTGCTCAGCATATGTTGATACGGTGTCCATGCTGTGACTGCCTCCAGGAAGCTGTTGTCTACTGCTCTCCTGCAAGCCTCTCCCAATGTGGTAAGTTCTCCACTTGGAAGGGAAAGTAAAGATAAAACTACCCTCCCCCACACTAGTGTTTCCAACTAGAATTCAATAAAATTTATCCTAAGTTAACTCTGAATATGTGACTCTGAGTCAGGTTGGGTAGAAGCATGTGCACCCTGTCATTTATGGATGGGCACTTATTATTTCAAGGTTCTCATAGCACTCTTGAAAAAATTTGGTTCTATAGTTGTTTTGCTTCTTTAAAAAAAAATGAAAACACTTCCTGTCAATTTTCACAAAATTCAGGTGAAAGCAAGATAAATCAACAATTTCAGGCCATGGAGTATGCATAAATATTTAATGTAGTTTTACATGAATTCGAGTCATACATAACTTTTACATATACTGACATAAAAGTTGCAGTCCATCCGTTGAAGGTGAAGGTGATTTCTCTGAAATGGAAAATAGATATATTTCAGGGTCTATTGTACATACTGTCAAGAATAATTAAAAATATTGAACTTGCTTATTTAAAATTTCAAGCAACCCAGATGCTCTCTGAAAATTCATTCATTAAGCCAGTATTGCATAAATTGAGAACAGATGAGTTAAAAAAATCCTGTAGAAAAATACCATATGAAGTGCTAAAATATGCAGGGATCCATGTTTCTGCACAGCTTTCTATAAATCTAGTGCTGCTGAGCTGCCACTGCTTGTTACGATTCTGCAATACAGATTCAGATAAAAATAATATATAGCTATATGGTCTCTTAACTTTGTCCAATCTTACTGCTCAGGTATGAATAATTTATATACACCTCTGTGATCTATTTTACACAAACATATCATGAGGAGAATTTGGAATTATTATTCCTAATTACAAAGTCAGGCAACATGTGTATAAAGCTATATCTTTAATGTGTCTGCAATTTGACAACATCATAGATTAAACCGTAGGGAGATTTCTTTGGTTTATTTAGTTATTTATTTATTTTGGGAAGGTGGGCATGATGACTCATTCCTATAATCCTAACATTTGAAAGTGGAAGCTGTCTGATGAGAAGTTCAAATTAATCCTCTATCACCTTGCAAGTAAAAGGCTAATCTGAGACATGAAATGCTATCTCAAAACCAAAGCAAAAAGCACAAAGAATAACCATTCTTTGTGTATGTTTAATATGCTTTGGGTATGATTGTTTCAATGCTTCTGATATTTATTTTGGAAATCAAGATGTTCTATAAGATATATGCCTGAAACTGTGAACATGCTTCACAGAATTGAACAAAAGTTGACCAAAATGTATCTAGAATCATCAGTTTCATATTTTTAATTTAATAATCCATCTTCTCTTCAAGGACTTTATCCTCATGGTTTCCTTCTCAGGCAATGACTTACCTACAGTAGGGAAGGCACCATCTTAGTGGTTATTGATGGCATAGCCTGTGAGAATTTTGTTATGCAAGTGTAGAATTTCACACTCGGAACTTTCCGTCTAGAGCTCAGCACAGAGTGAAAGATGACTGCTTTCACACATGCTGGCAAACCTGGGGACATTTTCATGCCACCATCTACCTCATCTGCAGGGTGGAGATGCTCAGCTCCTGCACCAGCACTGGGCCAGAGCAGTCCTGTAGTCGGGTAATTGGGAGCAGATGTTTCCTTTAATGGATGGAGAGCACAGCCTGTAACGTGGACTACCTTGTTCAGTGGGGGTGTGATGGATGCTGTTCATTAGCTTGACTTAACATTCTGTGAGCCAAGTCTTGAGACCAATACCCAAGCTCTGATTTACTGATTCATGTAGATTAGGTGATAAAACGCCTTTGCAAGAATGATTAGGTATTTTAAATGAAGTTTAGTAATAACAGTCTTATTTCTTGAGATGACATAAAAGAAATAATTATGGGAAGCAATAGCCTCCTGAACAAAACCTGTAATTAAACCAGACTTGTTCCCTGCCGTAGTTTTCTGTGATTAATGAATACATAACCAAATCACAATGCTGACAGGTAAGCAAGCTGACACTTGGGTAGAGATGATTAACTCAGGCAATTTGCTAACGCTGCCCTTCCATCAATATTTTGTACTTTTGACCTAGACTGTTTTGAAATAGTAAATATAGTTTTGGGGGAATCAAAATCGCTCATACTACTTGATTTCAGTGCTTAAACCCTATCTATTCTATGAGATTATTTTATTTTACAATGACTTTAAAAACTTCTAGTTTTCATGTCAGTATTTTCAGAGGGCTCCTATTCTTCTGTTTGCTCTGCGTTTCAGTACAGGATCTCAGTAAGTAACCAGGCTGGTTTTGATCTCAAAATGCTTCTGCTTCAGCCTCCATAGTCTTGGGTCAGTGATATGAGCCACCGTGACTGCCCACTAACCTGGAGGCATGGTCATATGTACCTATGGAAGCATTTATGGAATCAACATTTATATGTATCAAACATTGAACAGTATGATTTAAGTCAATACCATGCAAGACGTGGATACTCATCCAAAATTCACTTCTGGGTGAAAACACTGGTGATGTGCGTCAAGATGAAGGCTGTGTTGCTGGAACTATGAGTTTTAGCTTGTTGCTTTGTTCTTTCATCTAATTCTACGTGAAATATAATTCATACATTTAAACTCTCCTTACTCAGTCCTATCTTCAATTTTTTGTTCCTATGTATGTCTGTATGTCTACCGAGTGTGTGTGGGTGCTTGTGGAGGTGAGTGAGGCTGCCAGATCCCCTGGATTCTGAGATCAGTCCATCATAAACTACAGGGAGTGGGTTCAGTGAACCAGACTCGGTCCTTCAGAAGAGCAGCAGACACTCTTCAGCACAGAGCCAGCTCTCCAGCCAATCCACGGGGGCTTTTGTATGTGACTTTGATGTGCTTTAGTGAGGCCAGGAGGCAGTCAAAATGCTCTGACCACCTGCAGAGTGCATCATCACACCGTCCTTGAGCTTGCAGAGGAAAGCTGCTGATATTATTGGGTATTTCAGTCAGTGTAGGAAGAGCTAGGGTCAGCTGGTGGGTAAATGTAGATCACTGTTCTGACTATACACAGCGTGAAGATCAGTGGTTCTCCTTAACCTTGAAGATGACTGGAAGAACTTCCATTTTCTTTACGACAGAGCAGCAGTCACTGAGAAATGTATTACCTTCTGAAATCTCATCCCTACCCTTTAAAAATGGCTATTTTGTATATGTGGTGGGTTGGGGGACTAGGAGTCACGTAGGGGAGTCTGTTCTCTTGATTTAGAGGATGGTACCCTGGGCACCAGACTTCCAGTGACTACTGCTGTCACCATGGAGCCATCTTGCCATCTCTCCTCCTTTCTCACTTTTCATTTTTCTTTCCCCTTTGGTTTGTTTGGTTTTGGTTTTGTTTAGATGAAGAAACGCCAGTCGGCTTCTTCATGTCAGGAGTGTCCAGCCTGTCTCAGAATGAGACAGAACTTTGATATGGATCTTTTCCTAATTTGATATTGCATCAGCTGGGTGAAAGGATAGCTATCATAGGAATTTTACAGCACCTGGGGAATTTCAAAATCAGGCTGTCAAGACACAAGGGATGCATGGCTCCTTCCTTCATCAGGAGCACATACCCAGCAGGCGTTTTCTCCACAGCGCTTCTCCGGCAACACTTCATCTCGTCTCCCTACCTCATCTAATGAGCCTTCGTCTCTCTGAATCAAGAAAAGGCTTTTATTTTTAGGATTACAATTAACTGGGGTTTTTTTTCTAAAGCTGGGTGTCAGTTTGCTTTTAGTTTTAAGGCAGCAGATTCAATTCCTAATTATAAAGGTGAAACTCAATAACAGGGCAGGGACCTGTGCACTCAGGACTGCCAACCTTCAGGTAATGTAGCAAGTTGGTATCTCCTACTTCACATGAAGCAATAATTTATAAAGGCTTAGTATTAAAACAGAATAAAAAAAACTTGTAAAAGTACTTTTACCAAGAATGAGTATGTATGTATATATGTATGTATGTATGTATGTATGTATATATGTGTGCATGTATATATACTGGCCTTTACAGACATCATCTGGTGTTATGGGTTTTTTGCTTTGTTTTTTTTTTCTTCACTGTTGTATCACCTCCCTTGCTCCGACTCATTACAGAGCTAATCGTCTTTGTAATTCCAAATTAAAAATTACTTAGTGAGACAGAGACATTACCCCTGCCAGGTGTTTGGGAGGGCAGAATCCAATCAGCAGTTAAGTTTTTTTCCATTTACTTCCTGTCTCTGTTAGGTCTGAATGGCTTTTGTTTTGTTAAGTGAGGACTCAGTCAGACACAAGACAATGGTATCCAAAAGCAAGTTAATTAAAAATCCAGTACCTGAGCGTAAGAGGTAGACTAAGCAAGAATTTTGAGTAGAGACTCTGGTGGACTTACCAATGTTCTTTTGTCTTCTTTGGCGATGCGACCAGCCACTGGGTTGACATCCAGAGCTTCTCTTTCTAGCCTGGTACTTGCTGACTACATATGGGTTGTTAAAACTGGGCAGGAGAGTACATGTACACTTACAAGCATGTTCACTCTGGGCTTCAAACACTCCCATTCAGTACACAAAGGACCTGCTCAAACAATCTCAATGACAATCACAGGAAACTTACTGAGAAAAACAGAAGGGGTAGCTGCTCAGTGGTGGCTGGGTTAAGCTCTGTCTGTACAGGCATGTGAAATGGGAAAAAAGAGGATGGCTTTTGCATAGACTTCACACAAACAGGTGATCTAAAAGACAGGAGGTTCTCTGGATGGATTCCTGATGATCGCCCGTCCTGGTATAAAAGGTTGTGCTGTTTTGCTTCAGTTCTTTTGGTCCCAGGAACCATAATTAGGCAGGAGAGAGGTAGCAAATGGTTAGAAGAGTTTATGAATAGCGGTGAATTTTTTCCAAAGCACTTGGGGTTTTGCTCTTGTCTTAGTAGAGTGGTGATTGCAGGCATATTTAAAGAGAGGGTGAAAGGAGATTTCCTATTTCCTGGAGTTTAGCATTGCTGGAGACATCTCATCTAGAAAGGATTGCTTTATGCCATTACATCTGCTAAAAAGCTTTACTAAGAAAGCAGCCATTGGAATCTGATATTTGAGTTAGTTAGCCAGATATGGGGCCAGAAGGCGAGATTTGTCAGTATGGTCAGTGACTATTTAGGACAAGGTCTAAAATAGAAAGCGACAAGCAGTCATGTCTCCTGGGCAGGTGCTCAAAGATCAGGTACCTTAGAGGATTCAGGAATGTAGCATCTGATCCTGGAAGATACATGGGAATAGGAATGTGCGGGTTTTCTTGATTTAGCAAATGACTCCATATCTTTGAAGCTTTCACTGGCTTAGCACCCTGATGAAAATCCTGTCTCTCAGGTAAGGTTTGTCCCGCTATCCTCTCTCCCATCCCTCTTTTCATACTCTTTCTTCTTTCATGTTCCCAGTAATTGGCTTTTCCTACTTTTCTAAATATCATCATGACGAAACTACACTATGTGGGCCTAGTCATTACAGTGGTTAAGGGTGTGGAGACAATGTGCCTGTTGGCTACAGAGGGCACAACACTAAGTAAAAGGGAAGGTCTTGAGGTCCTATCCTGTGTACTGTACTGGTCCAGTGAGGGTGGCAGTCAACATGTTCCTAAGTTTTTCTGTGCCTTAGTTTCCTTAGTACTTGTGTCATTGTTTTTGTAGGATAAGGTGAGTGAAGAAAGTCAAATAATTCATACGGACTCATTAATGCAGAAACTGGTACACAAGAAGATATTACTAACTGTGAGCTGACTGTTTTTATTGTTATAAGTGAACTCAGAGCCATATGCCTGTGACAGGACTTGACATGTAGCAAAAACATGAGGAATATGTCTCCCATTCCCTAGTTCTCAGCTGAGCACCTAACACATATGACATGCTCTATAAAGTTTTCTCTCTCTCTCTGTCTCTGTCTGTCTGTCTGTCTGTCTGTCTGTCTGTCTCTCTCTCTCTCTCTCTCTCTGCGTGTGTGTGTGTGTGTGTGTGTGTGTGTGTGTGTGTGTGTGTGTGAAAACCAGAGACTGATGTTAGGTATCTTCTGTAGTTAGTTTCCCTCACATTGATCCCCTCACCTAACCTGGAGCTCATCAATCTGGCTAGTACGGCTGACCAGAAGTCTCTAGGTACTCATCTCTCTCTAACCTATTCAGCTCAGGGGTTATGGTTGTATATCACTGCACCTAATTTTGTGCTGGGCATCAAATTAAAACCTCACGCTTGTGCAACAAGGCCTTTGCCTACTGAGCTATCTCTTCTGCCCTTGCCTTATAAATATTTGATGAACAACCTTTAATTAATGAATGGAGAGTGAGTGAGGTTTAAATTAAACACATTGGCCAAGCACATTTAGCAAGACCTTGTGTGAAGCTGTGATCAAGTCAATGTGACTAAAACCTCCAGCTTTTCTAAGCTACTTCCTTTCACTCCTCCTGCATATCTCTCTTCTCCTGCTGGAATTTTCTTTTTACTCCTCAGTCTGCTAAACTTGCCTTTGCCATGGCCATCAGTGACTTCCAAATCACTAAACCCAAGGGTATAGATTGTTTCTTATTTCATTTGTTGGTGGGAGTGGTGGGTAGCAGGTGCAAGTCTGTGTATTTTGGGAGTTTGTTTGCACATTTATGTGCATACATATGGAAACCAGAGATCAATCTTTGCTATAGTTCCTCAAGTGCTCTTGACCTTGTCTATTTGAGATAGAGTCTATTCATTGATGTGAAGCTCACTGATTTATCTATGCAGGCTGAACAGAAAGACCAAGGAATCATCCTGTCTCTATCTCCAGAGCACAAGGATAACAGACGGGCTTTAGCGCAATAGACGTTTTAACTTAAGTTCTCGGGCTCAAGACCAGATTCCCATGTTCACAGAGATACCACTAAGCTATCTGTTGGCCAGTGATCCCTGACTGTCTGGTCTTTCTCTCCCTCACCCAGTTGCTCCTCCTGAAAGCTTCTTTTGTATTTGTCCCCTGGACCTGATTCATTTGGATTTTCTTGCTGATAGCTCTGTCTTTGACAGATTCTTCCCAATCTCATGACAATTGCCCTCTTGCGTATTTCCTATCCATTTCCTGTAGTGTGCTGCTAGTGCTCAGCCTGGCACGGCCACTCCAGTGCTGCTCTCAGTGAGCTTCAGGTCAGTGAATAGACTCGGTCTCAAATAAGCAAAGTGGAGAACACCTGAGGAATGACAGCAAAGATTGATCTCTGGCTCCCACATGTATTCTTTCTTACGGGATAAGAAAGCCTATAACCTCCATGACCTTAAAGACACTTTGCTTGCTGCACATTTGCAGAGGACCCTTAACTGTTGCTCCCTTCCTTATAATCAACTTTCCTTGTATCTACCACATTAAATGGATGTGATCGAAAGTGACCATGACTGCATAATTAATTTTTTTAGTTGGAGATATATAATTTATGATCTCTACTTGGCCAAGTTTCAAAGTGAAGATGGGCCAAGATAAATCACCCTGATGCTATCTCTTGGTCCAACCAGAATATAGACATGGGCCACTCTCACACTAAGACTAGAGTTCGTATTTGCTTTCTCTCAGCTATTTTTCATAGTCAAAGGATCATGATATCATGTAGATTCAGTAGATTCTCCTCGATTGTCTGGGTCTCTACCTCCCTTCCCATTTTTCTATCTCCACCATTGCTTGTTCTTCTCACTGGGACTGCAATTGTAGTGTACTGAGGCTCTGTGTGAACAAAACACTGGCCTCACTCATCTGCAACCCTCTCTGATGGTCTTCCTTAGTGCATCCCTATTCCCTTTGGATACTGTATCTTCTCTGAGCATCCATGACAAAAGGCTGAGTTGTTTCATATGGTTATAAGAAAGCGCCTTTACTCAGAACCATCCCATCCTTGACTTGGCACACTGTATGAGCCCTGTCAATAAAGAGTAAAAATAAATCTTTAAAATCTAACTTCTTATATTAGGCATTCATCTTCACATGTTTATATAAATGTGATGTATTGGAATGGATGTATAAGAAAGATGGGACCAAAAGCAGAATGGAATGGGACTCTCACACAGTTCTTGCCTGAGAATATCTAAGCACAGCGACGAGAATGTTCTTCAAAGTGAGATAGAGAAGTCCTAGCTTCTGTTTCAGGACAGCGGCACATGCCTAGGACAGCGGCACATTCCCAGGACAACGGCACATGCCCATCAAGCAGCTGGAGGAGGTCTGTGAGCTGCTGGGAATGGCAAGGTCTGAGGGAAAGCTTGGATTCTAGAAAACACTTCATATTCGCTGAGTGCACAGCATGCTGGAGACTCAGACTTCTTTAGTTGGACAACTATGCGTGCTGACACTGCCCTTCATTTGTTCAGTTTTATTTTCTTATGTGCATGCCCATGAGTGCATGCTACGGAAGTCATTTCTGCTCTGCTGACGTTCTCAACTGTGGCTTCTAGGAACGAAATCAAACGTGGTGCTGAGATGCCAAATACTTGACTGACAAAAGAAATGTTACTTTTGTAGTTTAAAAGTCTGCTAATTAATAAATAACTCCCTGGAAAGAGTAAGAAGATAGAAACTTGCCTTTAAAGAAAATCTAGTCTGAAACACAGATATTAATATCAATTTAAAATTAATGTGGTTCTATGAGGAGTGAAGAACACATTAAGTTTGGTTTATTTCTTTTTTTTTAAAGATTTGTTTATTTATTATGGATATAGTGTTCTGTCCACATGTGTGCCTGCAGGCCAGTAGAGCGCACTAGATCTTATTACAGATGGTTGTTAGCCACCATGGGAATTGAACTCAGGTTCTCTGGAAGAGCAGCCAGTGCTCTTAACTGCTGAACCATTTCTCCAGCCCCGTTTGGTTTATCTTTAAGTTAATTGACAATATCTTAGGTTGTTTCCACTGAGCTTGGGGAGTGACAGTGCAGGCACCTTTCTAAAAGAAAAGTGAAGAAAATTCCCAGACATTTCTCTGACTATTGAAACTCACAAGATAACAAAACTTGAAGTAAATGTAGACAATTTTAATCAAAGGTTATCAAACTATTTCCCATTCAAGAAAAAACTGATATTGTATATTATTTTCAACAATCTTAAAAATATACAAATGGATAATATTTTAAAACTAATTAAAAAGCTGTCTCTTGAAGTTGTCTGGAAATAAATCATCTTGTTTGGTAGCATCATCTATCTTATGGTGGGAAAATGTTTTTATCTTGAATTAAACTATAACTATTGGGCTAGTGAGATGACTGTGCAGGTAACAGTACTGGCCAACAAGTATGGTGACCTGAGTCCTACATGTCTCTTTGTCTTACATGATATAAGGAAAGAACTGACATCCACAAGTTGCCCTCTGACCTCAAAATGAGTGCTAACACACAAATACCACACACACACACACACACACACACACTCACATACACAAACACACACATGCATGCACACACACCCCACAGAGAGCAATAAACAATTTAAATGTACAAGATAGAAATGTCTATAATGTTTGCTTCAGATCAATATAGGCCTTTCAAAACATAGGTGTCATGGAATAAAATAATAGATTTTTTTGGTATAAAAAGTTGGTACGGAGACTCTAGGTATCTAAGTTTATGAACCAATTTGTAAATAATATTCCATGTCCTCCCTTTGACTCGCTAGAGTGATACAGAATTTAACAGTTGCAGAAGCTGGCTTCACATGTGTGTAACCAGCACACTGCCCAGTGCCCTGAGCCTGAAGGAGCCCTGTGCTTGGCATGATGTCTTAGCATCGCTCTTCTGGAGTTCTAAACAACCTTGACCGAGGCAGACCATAACTTTCTTTTTATTGGGTCCCTAAACTGTGCATTTGGAACCACTGCTGTGCTTACACCGTCCTTCCCAGTCCCTCCTACTTCTCTTGTAAGGTCAAAGGTTACCCACGGACATTTGAGTGGTGCTTCCCACAAAGGCACCTGACACCCAGATAAAGCAGAAGAGGAACTTGTAGAGGTCTGAGGTCTCAGCTTCATGTTTTCATTCTGAGTGCGGCCCACACCCCAGCTACCGCCGGCTGGATGAATGTACAGGGGAAGAAGCGTAGCAAGTTACAAACGAGAGTTTGTTGAGTTTCTTCATAAAACAAGTACTCTTGGGATGGCTTTAGTATGTTAAGGAAAATTACTAGGCAGTCTGGGAAAGATTAAACTATTAAAGTTTAAAAATTGGAAGTAGATGGAACTGAGTTGAAAGGAAAAGTGAAAAAAATTGAATTGAATATGTGTTTAATTCTCAGAGAATGAAGCAATGGTGCAGGGTGAGAGGCACATGCCTGAAATTAGTTAGATGTGGCCAAACATGTTGTAAATCAGGGGGTCCGTTTCTCTCAGATTCAGTTGAATACATGCTAGCTAGGTCTGTAAGATGCTGCACAGATTTCAGGTATTAGAAGGACCCAGAAGACAGTTGGTTTTCTGATTTTTATTTTCTTTTTTCTTTCTTTCTTTTTTTTTCCTATTCCCATCATTTCTTTCATTTTCTTTGGAACAGTCTTAGAGAGCTGAGACTGGACTGGACTTGAGTTTCCTGTGTAGCTGTTTGACCTTGAACTCCTAATTCTCCCGATCTACTGCGTAAGTGCCGAGGTTACAGACCTACGCTGTTCCGCTTGACTCAGATTTTTCCAGCTTACTATTTTTCATTAAGAAGATGTTTAAAAGAAATATATAAATGGAATGAAACATAATTTTCTTAACTGCTTCCTTTACCTCTGAGCAGAATAAAAGGAACTCAGGCTCAGGCTCCCAGCAATGCTAGTTGGACTGAGCATGTGTTATTTAATTTTTCCTACTGTGGTGTTCACTGTGAGAAATGTATACACCATTGATTTATGAAACATTGAGTAACAAAGGAATACTTCTTTCTGGAATTGTCTCACTGCAATAGACTGCTTTGCATGTTCCCTGAGTGTGTCGGGGCCTTCAAAGTTGTCTGTCTATTCCCAAGGCTTCTTTCCTGAGGGCCTATCTCTCTTTCCCTGGATAACAGAATAGACTTCTCTTGATCTTTTATGTGTTCCTACAGCATGGCATGACTTATTTTACCTATTGCTTTTATATATATTTCTCAAAAATAAAGAAAATGGTGTCCAGATATCTGAAATTATTTGGTTTCTGATTTATATTTATATTCCAGCACAATAACTTCTTTTAGGATATTCATGACTGCTAGGATTTTTGTTATTCCGTCAATTACATATATAGTGCCATCATAATGTTGGTTCAATGAAATCAAAATTTGTGAAAGCAGATGATTGATTAAATGGTGTATGTAATTATTTATAGAATATAGAAATTTTGAATAATGATAATTGTAGAAGGGAGATGAGAAATAGCATTAATAGTTACAATCAAAATTAAAAATTAAAAAATCAAAATAAGTTTTTGGGAAAAATATACCCGCTTAAAACACAAAGTGAGAGTGAGGCTGGGAGCTGGAGTCTGGAGCATTCTGATCCTAAAAAGGAGTAGTGGGGTAAATCTACCATACCTGGACTCACTTGGAATACTGGCTCAGGACACAGTAAGATGCACAAAGGATCTGGGTGGTTGTGGCGCACGCCTTTAATCCCAGCACTTGGGAGGCAGGGGCAGGTGAATCTCTGTGAGTTTGAGGTCAACCTGCTCTACAGAGTGAGTTCCAAGACAGTTAGAGCTGATACACAGAGAATCCCTATATCTACCTCCTCTCCTCACTAAAAGAAGATGCACAAAGGACTGAATGAAAACTTAGGGAATAAGAGGACCTTCCCTCAGGCTGTGAGCGTGGAGACTGTTTTCTTAAGTCAGCATCAGAATATCATCTTAAGAACACATTCCTTGAGACTTGTGTGAGCTTCAGGTGTGATCAACACTGAAAAACACGAACTGCTAATTGGTGACGCTCTGCAAGTGGGGTGGTCTTCACTGCACCCGCACACATGTTGTTAACTTATAATAACAGTGGCACCTGAGTTTTAAGAGCCTTTAGAAAAACTCACTCTAGAGTGTGCAGCTTTGGTCTTACTTCCCAGAGTGGAAGATTATTCCTTCTTTACAGAGAGTGGAGGGATCGGGACAGGAGACATGGAGAGTAAAGCCACCCTCAGATGTCAACATAAATCAAGCAATATTATAGCACGCGCCATTTTCATTGTAAAAATGATGATGACAGATGAAGTGTAACCCTTACTTTAGTTTTAACATCTCTCTACGACTAACTGGGAGGGAAGGAAAGTTATTTTCCCTAATTTCTGAAATCTGATATGGGTACATAATCAAAAAAATTGGTGACTGAATTGAACTCACTTCAAGAGAAAGTTCGAGTTCACTGATACATAAATATTCCGGCGCTAGCAACCTGTTTGACATTGCTATTGGGTGCAATTCCAAAATTAATGCATTTAATCATCTCCTAGGCATAAAGCCAAAGGCTAAGAGAGCAGAACATGACAACGTTGGCCTTGAATTATGTTCTGAACCCTGTTGAGTTTAATTTTACTTACAAAGCAGGATATGTAGTTTGCCACTTAAATTTGTCCCTTAGAGTCCAGGAAAAAAAAAAAAAAACACAAACCTGATTTCTTGTTATCAGCGTCTAAATTGTAGTATTCATTTGGAAAGTTTAAATTTTAGGAGGATCAATCTAAATTACTTGTCAAGTGCACACAGTTAATATACATAACTAAGGCAGATAATAGCAAGAGAAGAAAGTAATTTTATACCTATATGAGTGGGGGAGTACAATGTGCAGTAATATATAGTTCTATTACTTGTGGTTTTGCACAATTTAAGAATCGTGAAAACTGTCTATGAGAAATTGTACTTAACAACAAGTTATGATGAAAGAAAAATACTTAATAACAAATTATGTGAAAAGAAAAATGAAAGTTTGGAGAGAATAAAGAGTGGACAAAAGAAGGGAGAGAAGTAAAATGCATGCTAAGATGTAAATTTCCCATTTTGAGGAATAACAAGGCAGGTTGTGCTATATATATGTATTTAATTGAAACAAGACAAAACTTCATAGGGTTGCTGAATTTTGGGGGGAATGGCTCATAGTTTGAAAACACTTAGTTGTCAGTTTTACAAAGATAAGCTGTGTATTATTGACATTTTCAGGCTCAGAAAAAAAATCCCTGTCATTTAAAAATTGTATACTCTTTTACATGTGAAGTTTTCTTGATTTTGGAAGTGGGATTTTGAAGTTAGTAGGGAAAAAGAGGAAAATATAATGTCTGAAAGTTCTGCTGGCTTTGGATTTGAAAGATATATATATATATATATGTATGTATGTATATGTATATATACATACATTTAAAAGGTACATGTATACATAAATGTGTGTATGTGTGTGTGCACATGCATATATATATATACATACATATATATATATATCTTACAAGTACACACACACACACACACACACACACACACACACAGAGCAACCTTGACTCTGTGACCCAGTGTCTCCGCAGCTACGCTTTTGAGTTTGGGATTAAATTGGTGTGCCACTTAGCAGCCATTCATTACTGCAAATGTTTTTGAGATCGCTTTTAGCTTTTGTCTGCTCCTAAGGACATCATCATCTCAAAGGCAAAACAAAGGTTAAGCAAAACTGACAGAGATCGTGAAATTGAAAGTGAACAGCACATTGCTGAAGCGCCCCAAGTCCATGCATTCCAGTCCCTTCATAGGATAATTTATAGTGATCATGTCTGCAGTCTGAACTCTTAGCATACTCACCCCTAACAAGAAGTTCTGCCTCATCTGACACACTGTCTGCTGTGGTCTGTACCCTGCAGCCATATCTCCCAGCATGCATCAGAAGGATGTTCCTGATCATTAAATCTGCAGAGGATGCTTGCTGAAAGAGGGATGAAGTGCCAGTTTAAAATGTTGCAAATCTGCCTAATTCAAGGTGGCTTAAGGGGGAACTTTACATATTCAAAGGGCCCATCTTTGGCCTTACAGTTTATATGATAACAATGCAGCAATCAAACATGCCCTGTCGTAAGGACTATACAGATTTACACTTTTCACAACCACTCAAAAAGAGTTTCAACATTGAAAATTGCATAAAATGATTTAGCAGCAATGGTTAAGAGATATTTAAATATATACCAGTCACTCACAGCTTTAAAAGTACAGGAAAATCAGTAAAATTTACTGCTTTGCTATTGAAAGACAGGCCTATTGTTTGTGACAGTTAAACTGTGTTGAAAGAAATAGCAACTAGTGGGAAATTAATTATGAGACAGTAGCTGTTGAAAGATTATCTCATGAATATTTATTGAATATTTCCTTTTGTAAGTAGACTGTTGGTCACAGAATGTGACAGCACTTCAGGGGGAGATGACTAGTCTCCAGCCATGTGTCTTTTATGTAACAAAGATACAATCCTCCATAGCCACCATCATCAGGGAGCAGGGGCAGCCAGAACCTGTGTTAACGCACAGAACAGAGAGGACTCTCAAAGCACTCGATTTCATTAGCAATAAGATGAGAGCATAGCTTAATAACTGCAGTTAGGTGATCGGTAAATACAAAGGAGAGAATCTTTTGATGTATTGCTTATGGGATCAGGGAGGACTCTGTAGATGATTGGCCAACCAATATAAACCTCTCCTTACCTAGTACTGTCCTTCAATTACTTTGTTAAAATTGATGGTGTCACGTGATCATGTAAAGATCCGGCATTGATTCTGTTGCATGTCTCCCCTGCCCCACACACGCTTTTAGTTTGCTCTTTGAGACATGATTTCATTATGTATGGGCTGGACTGGAACTCAATATTCAGCTCAGTCTGACTTTGAACTTCTGCTTCAGCCTGTCGAGTGATGGGATTATAGGCACGTGCCACCATTCCTGATGATTTATTTTCTCTATAGAGTAGAACTATAGAAAGACCTAATATCTCTTGTTCTCATGTTGCAAAAGAGGAAAAGTTGGCTTGAATGTGCACAGTTTGAAATAACACTCTCCAAGAATTCATTCATAAACTGAGCACTTGAAAGAATTCTTAAAAAACTATTCCAGAGAAGGACCCCCACCCGCCAGATACAAGAGCTTTTAATGTTGGATGGAATGGAGGCAAGTTACTTTTAAAAACATCATGTTTATCCTTACAGGGTAAAACATACTAATAATTATTTAATTATTTCGTCATTTGCCTTTGTTTTGAAATAAATGAATGGGTTTGACATATCATGTAAAGAAAACTAATGTCTAGGAGCAATCCCTGAGTTTTCGTCTTAGCATCTTTGGAAAGGGCGTAGTGTGTGAGTTTGTGGGTCTCTCATCCCATTGACGTTCGTCTCTTTCAACATATTACTTTGTGAAGTTTTTTTTTTCTCTCTCTGATAGTTATTTTCTTTCTAGCTGATCTTACAATGGAGCATCTAAGAGTATTGAAAATTTTCACTCATAAAGTAATTTGTTGGGACACAGTCTGATTAACCCATATACAAGAAACTGTTTCACAGCAAGAATACATTAAAATTGATTAAAAGTCACAATAATTATTTTTGAAATTAAATATATGTCCATCAAATATCACAATTATGAATTCCTTACAATACATCCTTCAAACCTAAGAAGATTCACTTTCTATGTGGTTGCTTTCTGATGGGATGAAGAAATGTAATCCACTTTTTCAGTTCACTTTGACCAAGCACTCAATTCTTTCAGATACAGTGGAAACTTTAAAACACTCTGACCTTTCATTTTAGTGAAGAAACAAAAGAAATTAAACATTATAATCAGTTGTTCAGACTCTAGTCGAGATCATTTATGAGTGATAAAATTTGTCTCCAACTCAGTTTGGGCCCACCCTGGCCCCATGGTACGTGCTTCTGGGAGCTCATCCACCAAGACACTTAGCATTAGCCAGCAGTAACTGACTACTGTCCTGGGCAAGAATGGGAGACCTGTCTGATGAGAAAGCAGGGGAGAAGTTGCAGACGGAACTCCACCTGTAAGGATGACTGTTATTTTCCCTGTTTGGTTCTGGGGGTGCTGTTATTAGTCTGTATATATTTATTTTTGAGACAAAGTTCTTGAAAGGCTGTAGAGGTTAGCCTCAGACTCGAAATCCTCCTTTGCCAGCCACCCAATGACTGGATGTCAGGTGTGACAATCACCTCACTTTTGCTCTGGGTTGAAAGCATCCCATCACCAAATGAATTTGGGAGTAGTTTAAAAACAGGAAGACTCAAGCTTATGGTTTTGAAAGCTAATTTGTAGCAGCACACTCCTATAATTAAGAAATTCCCATTTTATTTTACAGACATTTTCCTCCCAAATAATTTATTTTCTTTTGAAACTGAAGAAAAGTTTTCAACCCTTTTACTTTTTGTGGAATTGAATTGAGAGTAAACATTGATGAAAGATGAATGGAGTATTTAGGGTTACATAAACATGCAAGAAACTTGGTCCTAGAGTAATCTCTCCTTTGCTGTCTGTGTGCGGCTCCAGAGATTAGCGTTCCATCATTATCTATTGATGCAAAATCTCTGCATCCTGTGGCACAGGCCTGGATGCCATGTCAATCTGAGGAGTTGGAATTGACTCATTTTGGGCTGATCTCTTTCCTTGTGGAGTATACCTGCATCGTATTTTTAAACTCCTAAACAGGGGCACTTACAAGCAAAGCAAATGGACTGTGAACAGTAAACCTGAATTCTCCTTGCCGTAGATTTACGGCTCTTTCAAGGGAAATAATGAGGAGAATTCACAGGGGGACCCATTATCCTTAATCCAAGCCCACAATGTGCAGCTCCTGTGAGAAAGTTTGCAATTCCTGCAGCTTTAATGAAATGGTTACTTACAGCGAACTTTGCTTTCTTCAATTCAACTTCGTCTTCACGTTCTGTCTCTCAGGAGGCACACTCTCTCTCCTCTGACTCTCATTTTACTTCCTGTCCTTTCTTGTCTCAGGTTTGGCTGCTGTGTTACCTGTTGCTTCAGATCAAATTCCCCACAACCAGGACTTAACCCGGTGCTCCAACACAGCCAAAAGCCACGTGGGCACTAAACCCCGTAGTGGTTGGTGCACGAGGGACTGAGGGACTAAATGAAGACTTGTTAATAGGCTCAGTTTGTTCATTGCCTGCCTGTGAGAACAGTGGGAACTGGCTATACACTTTTCCTGATCACACAATCTCGTTAGAGCACTTGGGATTTCTATTTATAACTTTGAAATAAGATAGGAAAATTGTGACTACCTTTCCACCTGGGTCCAGTTTTTAAATGAACTACCTACCTACCTACCTACCTACCTACCTGCCTACCGTTTGGCTAGGTCTTCACCCCAGTCCCCTGGCATCTATTTTGAAATGTCAGGTAGAAAGATCCATTTCAAAGCTCCCTCCCCTGGGAGTTGCCTCAGTCCAAACTCCACCTCCAAGAAAGTCTGCATATTGTGACCCCTCCCTAGGGAAGGTCAAGACCACTCCTACAGGCTATTTAAACAGCCCCCTGAGAATGAACACTGTGGTCTTCCAGTTTTTCGTGGTCTGTCCGTTCTTCCTTTCTGTGTTTTCCTGGGGGGCTACCTGGGAGTGCTAGCATTCATTAAACCTGGTTATCTTTTAATTTGGTCTGATTGGGATTATGGCATCGGCGGAGAAGCTTGTCAGTCAGAAAAATACTTAATATTTGGAGGTCCCACCCGGTCTGTTTTTCCCACTGGCCCAGGACTACACGTTGGAAAACGCCCTTCTCGCCCATGCTCTCTGCCAGGCTAAGATCAGCTTCTTGTGGGTGAGTTCCCCTTTCTTAAGTACATGCTGCTAAGGGTCCAGGACATGTACGATTTCGGGGCTGTCCCCGACGTGGGACTGTGTGGGTGGAGACGTCTGCCCACACATTTTTCACGCCCCTCTGTTTTTGACACAAGAGTCTTATCATGGTGGATGCATTGTGGTAGGCATTGAGTCCTGAGACTTGGCATAGACTTGTAAAAATGGGCTCTTGCAATTCAAAGCCAGATTGCCCAACGTCCTTGGCCTGCCTTTTACAAAAATCCTTTTAAATTGGGGCTATCCAACACCTAACATAAAACAAATAAAGCTCCAAATGCCCATGGTTTCTGGATGCTGTGTTCCTGTTCCCACTCCTCTTCCTGCTTCTCTGTTTATTATTTGTCTCTATTCCTGGCATTAATCTTGTCATGTGGGATCCAGATCTGTTTTCCCCCTTTCCTTCTACTCTAAAACTGTATAGGTGTTCCAACCTTATGCTTCTGTTCTCTCTTTCAGCTTCTGCCAATCTGCTCCTCAATGGGACAACCTATGTGCTTCCCTGGCTTCTACTGCCTGCCTACACCAGGAATTTTAAGTTGTTCAGCTAACACAGGTTCCTAAAAAAAAGTTTTATTTGTCTGTCTGTTAAAATAGTGTGGCCATACTATGCTTTTATGTCTGTTATGTGTGTTTGTTTCCATAGTATGCTTGTCTTATTTCTCTGTGCATATGTGTAAGTGTTTTAAGATCTGTGAAATTTATAATTCCAGATTACAACAGCTCTAAAAACAAAACAAGACAACAAACAAACAAAAACATTTGGGTAGCCACCATTTTGTCCTCACCTCCATCTTGGGTAAGAGTACCTATGTGTGCTACTATTGTTTGACTTATTAAAATGTTCCCTTTAATCTTTTGACACTTGCTACCATTTGTAAGCTGTAACTAATTTATGTAAAATACATGTCTAAATTTAACTTATATGTCTAGTTTAAATATAATTAACAGGTAACAGTACCCAATTCTCAAGCACCTTTACAGATCTGAGAGTATGGCATCTAACAAAAGAGCTTCTAACACAGAGACATATCAGCTCCTACAACCTCCTATAGCTCCTCCAAGA